CATCAAAAATTCTCTCATCTGAATTTTGATGTCTTGAAGAAGTTAGCCAAACAGAAGTTGGTCAAGGGGAATCCTGATCTGAATTTCAAAAAAGACCACCTCTGCTCAGCCTGTGAGATGGGGAAGTTAAAACGGGCTTCTCACAAAACCAAGTCAGAAACTTCCTGCTCCAAGCCCTTGGACATGCTCCACATCGACCTCTGTGGGCCAATATCTACACAAAGCCTCTCTGGGAAGAAGTACATCCTTGTACTCGTTGATGAATTTTCAAGATACACATGGGTTGAATTCGTCAAGAAGATATCAGACGTTCCTGACCTCCTTATTGCGGTGATGAAAAGGCTCCAAGTACTTCTACAACGCAAACTCATCAAATTTAGAAGCGACAATGGAACAGAATTCAAGAATACCAATGTTAGACCCCATCATTCTTACTGTAAAAGTAATGAAAAATATACAAGTATGGAAGTGCAGAGGGCCGATGGAAGAAAAGCAGGAAAAAATCCTAAGTGTCGAAGACCAACCAGAGATGCGATGAATGGTCCATAGGTGCGATGAACAATGCATCTCCATAACCCCTCTTGTTAGTAACACTTGAAGAATCAACAAAAATTCAATCAGGGATATCCAAACAAGAAGATTCGTGAAGACTCCTGGTTGAACATGCTTCCTTGAAGACAGCTGGAGATGACTCATCGACAGCTGGATTTCTATTTCGCCAAGAAGATTTAGATAATTTCCATAACTCTAGGTAGATATCTTTTCATAAAATATCTTATAGATATCTTTTCCCTAGTTAGTTATCTCTTAAAATAGATTACTAGTATAAATTGCTTTCATATTTCTTGTAATGGAACTCTTCCTCTAGTTCAAGCAATAATAGTGAAATCATTTGAAGCTTCATAATTCTCTTGAATAATCTTAAGCTGTTCATCACTATTATTCATCCATACGATAGATTTAGGTTCTTCATAACATAAATCTTCATGTTATTGAGAGATCTGGGATCAATAATTGGTATCAGAGAARATTGATTGATTTTCCAATCAAAACGAACAATTTTAATCTGAAAATTCAAAATCTCTCAATTTTTCTCCATTCTTGAAATTTTCTTCTTCTCTTCCAACTCTTTTTAATGGCCGACTGGAATTCTACCTACAATGTTGGTTCCCTCACCAAACCTCCAACTCTTCAACGTGAAGAGTATCCACAATGGAGGATACGAATGGTAAACTTCCTGGAGGGGATGGACAGAAATCTCCTCTGGTCTGTGATGGAAGKCCCATATGTTCCTCAAACTCTTGTTCCAAGAGTTCCAGGAACAAGTACCACTGCTGAAGTTGCTGCTTATTACATGGTGAAGGATGAGAGCAACTGGGATGATGATGACATTGAGCGAGTAGAGGCAAACAGGAAGGCCAAGAGGCTGATTATCATGGCCATTCCAAATGAAWTATTCTAATCTCTGGATGCTTGTACAACAGCAAAGGAGATATGGGATGAACTGGCTAGTCAACTGGAGGGAGGTGCTAAGACAAAGAAAAACCATAGGGCACAATGCTTGAATGAACACACAAATTTCAAAGCATTGCTGGATGGACCGATGCAAAAGACGTATGATCGTTTCAACACATTGATAAATCAATGTCGCAGAAACGACATTGCTAGGACCAAAGAGGAAAATAATGTCCTTTCCTCAAAAGTCTCGGTGATGAGTGGACTTAACTATCAATGTCTCTCCAAGCAAATCAGGACTTAGACAGTTGGTC